GAGGTACACAATATTGCATATTATCTATCATTAATACCATATCTCCACATGTTTTTATCAATGATATTAAGCTTGGTATCGTGATTACGAAAAGTATTGTGATGAAACTGCACAGCCGTTGAAATTTTGGTCCTACAATTTGACGCGAGTCCCGATTGTCTGGCGGCCACAAACCGACGATTTTTAGCATGAACCGATTTAGACTGATTGCCCATTCGAAATCTGTTATTAGAAACTTAAGATTTATTTTACACTAAAAGCTATAATTTCACATATAATATTTGCATGTAGGAACAAATATATCGACGAATAATTTAGAAATAGGTTGCACGAGCGTACTTGAACATATTGACTTTTCTAAATAGAAGAGTTGTGAAGAATTTTTTTTAACTTAATATATCAATAGAATTTACAGAGAATTTCCGTATTAATGTGTCGTGTTAATGTAGAAAATAAACAGAAATTATGTTCTTTTATAATCAATTCTTTTTTACATTTTTATACATTCTTATTTTTCCAAAAATCTCTGTTTTCTCGTCAACTTGGATATCTATGTCAACAAAATTATGAAAGGCTTTAATTATGTTAATACTTTTAAATAGAAAAATAAAATGAAAAAACATAAATCGGTAATATAAAAGAGTACCGCTATATCTACTTGAACGATCCATGCTCAAAGTTAAAAGGATACTACCTCGTATTTCCGAGAATAAGTCGTCTCCATTCGTTACATATACTCTTAAAAGAAAATGGTCGAAAGACCAAAGTTCATTGTATGTATGTGTTGTCGTTTTTATAAATATTTCAGTAATCAGAATAAACATAAGTGTGTATCCTATTGTTGACGCTTTTGGTAGCCAATGGAGTGAGTGAATAAATTATAATCGCGTGAAGGTACGTAACGTACTGTCCATTGTTAGAAACACCCATCACATTCGATATTTCGTGTTTTTCCTCCTTACTTCCGCGCATTTGTAATTGTAGAGTTGCGAGCATGCACGCGAAGAATTTTTTATATGACGATGCGAAAGAGACCGTTGAAAAGTTTAATAATGCCATGGGAAGTCTACAGCTTGTGGACATTCTTTACCATGCTAGTTGGATCGTTGGAAGAAGGGGTTGCCACTGAGGCAGCACTTGGCGCAGTACTATTGACGAGTCTTTAGTCGCACGGTAATTTTCAGCGGACAGATGAAATACAGCAACGTACGAAGAAAGACGTAGAAGACGCGGTGCCGATGTTTAGCGCTAATGTGTCTGACTTGTACAATGCGTGTAAGATGGACGCATTTGAATTCAACGGAATTTTATAAGTGTTGTATTTAAGGCGAGGTGTTTTCTCGTGAAATAATGGTTTTACAATGGTCTCTTCTATCATTGCGTGAAGTGAAGTGTGAAACTTGAATGAAAACAGTATTGCATGGAGTGGACTATTTTTAACGTTTATGTTTCCATCGCGTGCGCGCTATGTACATTCGACTATTTCCATACCGTTTATACACTGAAAATGAAGGATGCCAGGGCGGACGTCTTTCTACCTGCATATCTTTCAGCGGCGCCAGGAATCTCATTTGTTGTGCCGTGTATTTCTCTATGACGAATCACATGATGATTAGTGCGTGTTATAAGATGGCTATTGGTTATCGCGCAACGGCAAAATCAGTTAAGGCATGTATAATAATTACGAGCACATAAGCGAGTGGAATGCATCGACATTCATTGTTTTTTTTAGTTTGCGTAGAAAATTCTTATAATTTAATTTAACCCAGTCGCCTTTCAAATAATTCTACTTCTAGGCATTTCCGGATATCTTACTGTTTGCTTGTGCTTTCGCGCTTTAATTGTCGTAAGAGAGTTGTGTTCTTATCTGTTTATGTTCAACCAAAATCACGTTTGTTGCCGTCGTAATCGCCGATTAGCTTTTTTTGTAGCTTTGTAATACTTATCCAAGACAGTAAATTTTCTTCTGTTTGTGGAAACATTCTCACAAATTTTAATTTTCTTCTGAAAAATTCAGCTTCACATGCGACTACGTCTCTTTCTTGTTGCAAAAGTTTTACTTGCCTATACGTATCACGGCTTGTGCATTCGATTCCGCCGGAGATTTATCGGATAACGCCTCATACTATTTGTCCCATTTCCTGTTGTACACGATAATTTTTCAGGCAAAACGTTTTCTTTCAATAAACGTTTTACTAACTAGTGTTTTGGTTTCTTTGATGATAGTTTTTTCTGTGTTATTCTCTCCCTAAGATCTACTGGATTTCAAATAAATGTCTTATTTTTTTTTCTATTTGTACGAAAAATCCAATGCATTACATAGCTTGTAAGTACTCGCCGAACACGCTGTCTTGCGTAAAATATGCTTAAGGTTTTTAATTTTATGATTATCGGGACTGAGATACCATCTAGTTAACTCTGACATATTTCAAAAATTTATTTTAGGTTAAAAAATTGCAACGGTCCTTTTAGATATTTGTAACAGATTTTTTCGTATTAATTTTTTGGCGCGCTTTCAGATTGCTTTATTTTTATATTACATATTTCCCATCGGTCTCTCGGATGTGTTTGTTTCTACTGTAAGGACTATAATTAAAAAAAAGCATTTAATAAAATCACTGAGGTCACGGAACGTAACAAACAAATATATGTATTATGTTTTTCATATTTGATATTGTTTATGTATAACTTTTTTTTTATTTCAACTAAGGAAAATGATATCTATATATGGAAGACTCTTTAGAATATTTGATGTCTTACATTATGTTTATTTGTGGATACAGTGTGTTTCGCTATCAACATTTTGCGTAAACTCTTATTAGATTTTTTTGTTTATGTTTGGTTGTGCATTTGGGATGCATCTCTGAAAATTTATTCAATATTTTATTATATAATGCTTTTTTCAAAACTAATACAGTGATAATAGAATGATTTCTAGTTGTAGCAGATAGATTACAAAAAATATTCTAATAACGGACATTCAGCATCACAAAAATTCACATAAATGTAATATTTTGGCTTGTATCTTTCGATCCTGTAACAGCCAGCTATCTTTCCTCATATCACGCTATCTGTTGCTCAACCGAGTAATTGAATTGAAACTTATGATGCCAATGAGATATGACGATATTTTACTGAATTATGTTTGTAATTATGCTATTGTATCGTTCAATCCATACCGTGATAGTGTATTTATTGACAAATGATACAAACGATGCAGCAATAATTGGAGTCCGACTAATATTGTTCTAAGTATATCAGTGAATCATTAACAATATAATTGTTTTTAAATATTGTTTTGTAAAAATCCATATATATCATTGTAAAGTTGAAACCTATGTACCATTTGAAAATATTTGTTTAAATTATTTGTAACTATCTTTTTTCGCGTTGATCATATTCGCTTAGTAATGTAAAAATCTATCTTTTCAAGGAGCAACCCTTATTCCTAAAACTATTTTTAGCATCAATAAAAAATTGTTTTGTTATTAAGATCTGCTATCCTATAATCGCAAACTATGATATTTTTTAGTTTTTACGTTGTCGAATGTCTTCTTTATATAATAAAATTATATGATTTTCTCTTTTTTTCTTTAGTCATGAAAGCCTCTATCATATTCTTTTACATACCTGTATTACTAGAATTTCACCAACGACACAATAAAGACACATATGTAAAGAAAGAGCTACTGTCGCTACGACAAACCAAGCCAACTGCATAACTGATAATTCGCCTTTCTGTTTAAAACTCTAAATAGTCACCAATAAAAGTTATATAATTTTGAAATGCAATACTCACTGAAACTTATCGTGTTATATTCATACAGTATAGGGAGGAAAATTGATTAGAAAATTACGAGATAGTATAATGCGAATCAGCATGTTTATCTTGTAGCTTTTTCATATATGAACGTTCCAAATTATCAAAAACTGTAGGGATCACAAAGTATTTCATCAAGTAATCACATGCACGATTATTTTACTTACATTAACTATGAGAAATCCTTGGAGGCAAAATGTTATAGCAAAGGCAAATATCACACTAAGTAACATTAAATAGAAAGTATCATCAATGATTTTGATAGATCTGAAACATCAACTACTCTTCAGAGAAAAATATAATTTTGTATCGTGTTTAAGTACACGATTGTGTGTATATGTGTGAGCTTGAACAGTTTCTATTTTGATAGTTTTTCTCAATAATCCATTTTGAGTACCTGATCAAACAAATGTGGTCTTGGACGTTATATTTCACAATTTCATCATAGTTAGGAAATTTCTTCATATGTGTCAACCGCAAATATAAATTTTCTAATTGACCGCATACGTGAAAAATTAATAGTCCGAACAAGTTGTCGATCGCAGAATAAGATATACCACCTATGAACGTCGCGACTATTTGTGCCAGTAGTGTCAGCTCGAACTGCGGACTCTTGGTCACATCGTGCAGGTAGTATGTTGGTATCGGTAAATGTTTCCCAGAGTTAGTTAAGTTGGTAATATATCTCCTTGCCATTCCGAGACATGGTAAACCAAACATAATGATTAATACAAACAATACTATAAGCAATCCACACATAGTGATCGTTCGAGTAATTCTGGCGCACCTCAGCATAATATCTCGTTCCTCTTTAATTCTGACTTTAACCCAATCTCCTTCAATTATATCAATTAGAAGGGCTAAAACTGCAAAAATGCGTAATGAGTTACTATTTGATCGCGCAGATTTTGCATCCTATAAATCCAATAAAAGATTACAAGTATAACAAAACACTCTGTCAAACATAACACACCTTCTTGTTTGTACCAAATAATGCAGATTTTCAAAATTGCCATCGACAGAAGTAGAAAATATTGCATATTATCTATCATTAATACCATGTCTCCCCATGCTTTTATCAATGATATTAAGCTTGGTATCGTGATTACGAAAAGTAATGTGATGAAACTGCACAGCCGTTGAAATTTTGGTCCTACAATTTGACGCGAGTCCCGATTGTCTGGCGGCCACAAACCGACGATTTTTAGCATGAACCGATTTAGACTGATTGCCCATTCGAAATCTGTTATTAGAAACTTAAGTTTTATTTTACGCTAAAAGCAATATAATTTTACGTATAATATTTGCATGTAGGAACAAATATATCGACGAATGATTTAGAAATAGGTTGCACGAGCGTATTTGAACATATTAACTTTTCTAAATAGAAGAGTTGTGAAGAAATGAATTTTTTTTAACTTAATATATCAATAGAATTTACAGAGAATTTCCGTATTAATGTGTCGTGTTAATGTACAAAATAAACAGTAATTATATTCTTTTATAACTAATTTCTTTTTACATTTTTATATATTCTTATTTTTTCAAAAATTTCTGTTTTCTCGTCAATTTGGATATCTATGTCAACAAAATTATGAAAAGCTGTAATCATGTTAATATTTTCAAATAGAAAGATAATCAAAATGAAAAAACATAAATCGGTAATAAAAAAAGAGTACCGTTATATCTACTTGAACGATTCATGCTCAAAGTTAAAAGGATACTACCTCGCACTGTCGAGGAAAAGTCGTCTCCATTCGTTACATATACTTTTAAAACAAAACTGTCGAAAGACCAAAGTTCATTGTATGTATGTGTTCTGGTGTTTATAAATATTTCAGTAATCAGAATAAACATGGCGAACCCATAGATATGTATCGTTTTGTTGACGCTTTTGGTTGTCAATGGAGTGAGTGAATAAATTATAATCGCGCGAAGGTACGTAACGTGTACTGTCCATTGTTAGAAACACCCATCACTTTCGATGTTTCGTGTTTTTTCTCCTTACTATCGCACATTTGTAATTGCAAGGTTGCGAGCATGCACGCGAAGAATTTTTTATATGACGATGCGAAAGAGACCGTTGAAAAGTTTAATAATGCCGTGGAAAGTCTACAGCTTGTGGACATTTTTTACCATGCTAGTTCGATCGTTGGAAGAAGGGGTTGCCACTGAGGCAGCACTTGGCGCAGTACTATTGACGAGTCTTTAGTCGCACAGTAATTTTCAGCGGACAGATGAAACACAGCAGCGTACGGAGAAAGACGTAGAGGACGCGGTGCCGATGGCTGTTTAACGCTAATGTGTCTGACTTTTACAATGCGTGTAAGATGGACGCATTTGAATTCAACGGAATTCTATAAGTGCTGTGTTTAAGGCGAGGTGTTTTCTCGTGAAATAATGGTTTTACAATGGTTTCTTCTATCATTGCGTGAAGTGAAGTGTGAAACTTGAATGAAAACAGTATTGCATGGAGTCGACTATTTTTAACGTTTATGTTTCCATCGCGTGCGCGCTATGTATATTCGACTATTTCCATACCGTTTATACACTGAAAATGAAGGATGCCAGGGCGGACGTCTTTCTACCTGCATATCTTTCAGCGGCGCCAGGAATCTCATTTGTTGTGCCGTGTATTTCTCTATCACAAATCACATGATGATTAGTGCGTGTTATAAGGTGGCTATTGGTTATCGCGCAACGGCAAAATCAATTAAGGCATGTATAATAATTACGAGCACATAAGCGAGTTGAATGCACCAACATTCATTCCTTTTTTTAGTTCGCATAGAAAATTCTTATAATTTAATTTAACACAGTCGCCTTTCAAATAATTCTACTTCTAGGCATTGCCGGATAGCTTATTGTGCTTTGCTAGTGCTGCCGCGCTTTAATTATCCAAGTCGTAAGAGGAGAATTGTTTTCTTATTTGTTTATGTTGTATTGTTCGATCAAAATCACGTTTGTTGCTGTCGTAATCGCCGATTAGCTTCTTTTGCAGCTTTGTAATACTTGTCCGTAATAGTTAATTTTCCTCTAGTTATGGAAACATTCTCATCAATTTTAATTTCCTTCTGAAAAGTTCAGCTTCATATACGACTACGTCTCTTTCTCGTTGCAAAAGTTTTACTTGCCTGAACGTATGGGTAACGGCTTGTGCATTCGATTCCGCCGGCCGAGATTTATCGGATAACGCGTCATGCTAATCATTCCATTTCTTGTTGTACACGATAATTTTTCAGGCAAAACGTTTCCTTTCAATAAACGTTTTACTAACTAGTGTTTTGGTTTCATTGATGGTAGTTTTCTCTCTATTATTCTCTCTTTAAAAATTACTGGATTTCAAATGAAGGGGTTACTTGTTTTTTCTATTTGTACTAAAAATTCGATGCATTTCATAGCTTGTAAGTACTCGCCGAACACGCTGTCTTGCGGAAAGTATGCTTAAGGTTTTTAATTTCATAATTATCAGGTCTGAAACACCAACTAGTTAACTGTGACATATTTCAAAAATTTATTTTGGATTAAAAAATTTCAACGGTCCTTTTAAATATTTGTAACAGATTTTTTCTTATCAATTTTTCCGCTTTCAGATTGGTATATTTTTATATTACACATTTCCTATCGGTCTCCTGGATGTGTTTGTTTCTACTGCAGGGACTATAATTGAAAAAAAGCATTTAATAAAATCATTGAGGCCACGGATCGTGACAAACAAATATATGCATTATTTTTTTCATAATTTTGATAATATTTGGGTATAACTATTTTTTATTTCAACTAAGGATAGTGAAAATGATAACTACATATTGTTGACTCTTTGGGACATTTGATGTCTTTCATTTGTGGATATAGTGAGTTTCGCTATCGACATTTTGCGTACTCTTATTAGATTTTTTTTATTTATGTCTGGTTATGCATCTGGGATGCATCTTAGAAAATTTCTTCAATATTTTTTTAATTAATGTTTTTTTTTCAAAACTAATACAATGATAAGAGAATGATTTCTTATTGTAGCAGATGGATTACAAAAAATACTCTAACAAGGGACATTTAGTATCGCAAAAATTCACAAAAATTTAATATTTTGGCTTGTATCCTTCGATCCTGTAACAGCCAGCTATCTTTCCTCATATCACGCTATCTATTGCTCAACCGAGTAATTGAACTGAAAGTTATGATACCAATGAGTTATGACGATACTTTACTGAATTATGCTTATAATATGCTATTGTATCGTTCAATCCATATCGTGATAGTGTATTTATTGACAAATGATACAAACGATGCAGCAACAATTAGAGTGCGACAAATATTGTTCTAAGTATATCAGTGAATCATTAACGATGTAATTGTTTTTAAATATTGTTTTATAAAAATCCATATAGGTACATCATTGTACAGTTTAAATCCAATTACCATTTAAAAACATTTGTTTAAACTATCTCTTTTCGGTTTGATGGTATTCGCTTAGAAATGTAAATCTATCTATCTATGTAAATGTAATCTATCATTTCAAGGAGCAACACTTATTCCTAAAACTATTTTTAGCATCAATAAAAAATTGTTTTGTTATTAAGATCTACTATCCTATAATCGCAAGGTATGATATTTTTTAGTTTTCACGTTGTCGAATGTCTTCTATAAATAATAAAATTATATGATTCTCTCTTTCCTTCTTTAGTCGTCAAAGCTTCTATTATGTTCTTTTACATACCTGTATTACTAGAATTTCACCGACGGCACAATAAAGACACATATGTAAAGAAGTAATTACTGTTGCTGCGACAAACCAACTCAATTGCATAATTGATAATTCGTCTTTCTGTTTAAAACTCTAAATAATCACCAATAAAAGTTATATAACTTTGAAATGCAATACTCACTGAAACTTATCGTGTTACATTCATGCAGTATATGGAGAAAAATTGATTAGAAAATTACTAGATAGTATAATGCGAATCAACGTGTTCATCTTGTAGCTTTTTCATGTATGAACGTTTCAAATTATAAAGGACTGTAGGGATCACAAGCTATTTCATCAAGTAATCACGTACACGATTATTTTTTACTTACATTAACTATGAGAAATCCTTGCAGGCAAAATGTTATAGCAAAGTACAATACCAGACCAAGTAGCATTAAATTGAAAGTATCATCAATAATTTTGATAGATCTGAAACAGCAACTACTCTTCAGAGAAAAATATAATTTTGCTTCGTACACGACTTAAGTACACGACTGTCTGTACATGTATGTGTTCGAACAGTTTCTATTTGGATAGTTTTTTTTATCAGTCCACTTGGAGTACCTGATCAAACAAATGTGATCTTGGACGTTATATTTCAAAATTTCATCATAATTAGGAAATTTCTTCATATGTCTCAACCGCAAATATAAATTTTCTAATTGACCGCATACGTGAAAAACTAATAGTCCGAACAAGTTGTCGACCGCAGAATAACATATACCACCCATGGACATCGCGACTATTTGTGCCAGTAGTGTCAGCTCAAACTGCGGACTCTTAGTCACATCGTGCAGGTAGTATGTTGGTATCGGTAAATATTTCCCAGAGTTAGTTAAGTTGGTAATATATCCTCTTGTCATTTCGACACATGGTAAACCAAACACAATGATTAATGCAAAAATTAACATGAGCAATCCGCATATAGCGATCGTTCGTGTAATTCTAGCGCACCTTAGCATAACGTCTCGTTCCTCTTTAATTCTTACTTTCACCCAATCTCTTTCAATTATATCAATTAAAAGGACTAAAACTGCAAAATTGAATAATGAGTTACTATTTCATTGCGCAGATTTTGCGACCAACAAATCCAATAAAAGATTACAAGAATTACTGATAACAAAACACTCTGTCAAACATAACATACCTTCTTGTTTGTACCAAATAATGCACATTTTTAAAATTGTCATCGAGAAAGGTAGACAATATTGCATATTATCTATCATTAATACCATATCTCCACATGCTTTTATCAATGATATTAAGCTTGGTATCGTGATTACGAAAAGTAATGTGATGAAACTGCACAGCCGTTGAAATTTTGGTCCTACAGTTTGACGCGAGTCCCGATTGTCTGACGGCCACAAACCGACGATTTTTAGCATGAACCGATTTAGACTGATTGCCCATTCGAAATCTGTTATTAAAAACTTAAGTTTTATTTTACACTAAAAGCTATAATTTTACATATAATATTTGCATGTAGGAACAAATATATCGACGAATAATTTAGAAATAGGTTGCACGAGCGTACTTGAACATATTGACTTTTCTAAATAGAAGAGTTGTGAAGAATTTTTTTTAACTTAATATATCAATAGAATTTACAGAGAATTTCCGTATTAATGTGTCGTGTTAATGTACAAAATAAACTGTAATTATGTTCTTTTATAATCAATTCTTTTTTACATTTTTATACATTCTTATTCAAAAATTTCTGTTTTCGCGTCAACTTGGATATCTATGTCAACAAAATTATGAAAGGCTTTAATAATGTTAATATTTTCAAATAGAAAGATAATCAAAATGAAAAAACATAAATCGGTAATAAAAAAAGAGTACCGTTATATCTACTTGAACGATTCATGCTCAAAGTTAAAAGGATACTACCTCGCACTGTCGAGGAAAAGTCGTTTCCATTCGGTACATATACTCTTAAAAGAAATTTGTCGAAAGACCAAAGTTCATTGTATGTATGTGTTCTCGTGTTTATAAATATTTCAGTAATCAGAATAAACATGGCGAACCCATAGATATGTATCGTTTTGTTGACGCTTTTGGTTGTCAATGGAGTGAGTGAATAAATTATAAGCGCGTGAAGGTACGTAACGTGTACTGTCCATTGTTAGAAACACCCATCACTTTCGATGTTTCGTGTTTTTCCTCCTTACTATCGCACATTTGTAATTGTAGAGTTGCGAGCATGCACGCGAAGAATTTTTTATATGACAATGCGAAAGAGACCGTTGAAAAGTTTAATAATGCCGTGGAAAGTCTACAGCTTGTGGACATTTTTTACCATGCTAGTTGGATCGTTGGAGGAAGGGGTTGCTACTGAGGCAGCACTTGGCGCAGTACTATTGACGAGTCTTTAGTCGCACGGTAATTTTCAGCGGACAGATGAAACACAACAGCGTACGGAGAAAGACGTAGAGGACGCGGTGCCGATGGCTGTTTAGCGCTAATATATCTGACTTGTACAATGCGTGTTAGATGGACGCATTTGAATTCAACGGAATTCTATATGTGTTGTGTTTAAGGCGAGGTGTATTCTCGTGAAATAATAGTTTTACAATGGTTTCTTTTATCATTGCGTGAAGTGAAGTGTGAAACTTAAATGAAAATCGTATTCTATGGTGTCGACTATTTTTAACGTTTATGTTTCCATCGCGTGCGCGTTGTATATAATCGACTATTTCCGTGTCGTTAAACACTGAAAATAAAGGATGCCAGGACGGACGTCTTTCTATCTGCATATCTTTCAGCGGCGCCAGGAATCTCATTTGTTGTGCCGTGTATTTCTCTATCACAGATCACATGACGATCAGTGCGTGTCATATGGTGGCTATTAGTTATCGCGCAACGGTAAAATCAATTAAGATACCTGTAATAATTACAAGCAGGCGAGAAGAATGCACCAACATTTATTCCTTTTTTTAGTTCGCATAGAAAATTCTTATAATTTAATTTAACATAGTCGCCTTTCAAATAATTCTACTTCTAGGCATTGCCGGATAGCTTACTGTGCTTTGCTAGTGTTTTCGCGTTCTAATTGTCGTAAAAGAAGAGTTGTTTTCTTATTTGTTTATGTTGTATTGTTCGATCAAAATCACGTTTGTTGCCGTCGTAATCGCCGATTAGCTTCTTTTGCAGCTTTGTAATACTTGTCCGAGACAGTAAATTTTCCTCTATTTGTGGAAATATTCTCATCAATTTTAATTTTTTTCTGCAATGTTCAGTTTCACATGCGACTACGTCTCTTTCTCGTTGCAAAAGTTTTACTTGCCTAAGCGTAGTGGTAACGGCTTGTGCATTTGATTCCAACCGAGATTTATCAAACGATTTCTCATACTAATCGTCCCATTTCCTATTGTACACGATAATTTTTCAGGCAAGACGTTTCCATTCAATAAATGTTTTACTATTGTTTTGGTTTTATTGTTGATAGTTTTCTCTCTCTTATTCTCTCCTTAAGATCTGAATTTCAAATGAATGGTTTACTTGTTTTTTCTGTTTGTACGAAAAATCCAATGTATAACATGGCTTGTAAGTACTCGCCGAAAACGCTGTCTTGCGTAAAGTATGCTTAAGGTTTTTAATTTTATGATTACCATGTCTGAAACAGCCATCTAGCTAACTCTGGCATATGTCAAAAATTTATTTTGAGTTAAAAAATTTGGGTTAAAAATTTCAAGAATCCTTTAAGATATTTATAACGGGTCTTTTCTTATCAATTTTTCCGTGCGCGCGCGTTTTCAGATTGCTTTATTTTTATATTACACACTTTCCGGTCTCCCGGATGTGTCTGTTTCTACTGTAGGGACTATAATTAAAAAAAAATAAAATCATTTAATAAAATCACTGAGGCCACGGAGGAACGTAACAAACAAACATATGCATTATTTTTTTCCATATTTGATAATGCTTGTGTATAACTTTTTCTTGTTTCAATTAAGGATGGTGAAAATGATGACTACATATGGTTGACTCTTTGGTATATTTAATGCCTCACATTAGGTTCATTTGTGGATATAGTGGGTTTCACTATCTACATTTTGCGTAAACTCTTATTAGATATTTTTATTTATGTTTGGTTGTGTATCTCGAATGCATTTCTGAAAATTTATTCAATATTTTTTAAATAATGCCATTTTTCAAAACTAATACTGTGATAATAGAATGATTTCTAGTTATAGCAGATAGATTACAAAAAATACTCTAAGGAACATTTAACATCGCAATAATTTACAAAAATTTGATATTTTGTATAATTATATAGTAGATTCTAATAACAAAACAACTTTTGTGTGTGTTATTGCTAGAAGACGGTTTTTTTTGGAGTGAAAATACTCTTTAAAAAAAATCGATTTTTACTGTCCTATGCGAATATTATTGAAACGAAAATATGTAAAAAAGTAATTTAAAGAAGGTTTTATGATTTCAAACGTACTTTAGAATAGCGTATCTGGATTTTTCCGAAATGGCATATTTTTCAAAATATCTTCACTATTTGTTTTTTTTTGAATATTTTAACAAAATTTATAAACTTCTTTTTATTAATTAATATTAAAAGTTTATTAAAATTTGAAAATAAAAAAAACTTATATTAGGCTAGATTCAATCATATATGATAAAGTTGTGTCGTGAAAATTAATTCTTGAAAAATCAGAACGCCTGCTATCTATACCTACCTTATATTAATCTTGTCTAGCCCCTGTTTGTGAAAACAGTTTATATTTTTTCTTTTTATTGTATACTCTTGCAATATATGATATATGATACTGATAAATATTTGTAACAATGTTGATTTGAAATTGAATTACACGTAAATAATTTTTATATACTACGTACATCCTCATTACATCATAATAGTATAAAAAAATAGAATGAGTTTTTGGTGTGTTTAGAGATGTCAAAATATCAATTAAATATTTCTCTGTTAAATGATCGATTTGAACAAATACTTTTTAAATACAATTAACGGTTGGGTTTAACGAATTCAATTAATAACTGTTCCACTAACGATTGATATAAGCAAAGAGAATCAAAGATCATTCATTTAACGATTGTATTTAGTAAATTTAATTAACAACTGTTTAATTAACGATTAATATGACCAAATTCAATTGGGAACCGTTTAATTAACGTTTTATATAAACAAGTGCAATTAAAATTATTAGATTAAATATTGAACTCAACAAATTTAATTAAAGACTATTCTATTCTCTGACGATTGATATGAGCGAATTTAGTCAGAAACTACTTGATGATAATTGTTAGAATTACTGTGAGCAAAAGACATTCTAGCGATCACAGTGCATGAATAAGTACGATATAATATTTCATGGGACGAACTGCTAAGTATTTATTTTGTATCTATTCTCAACGACTTTTTTAAGTTAATGAAAGTTAGTAAACTAGTTTTTAAAATTAGTTATGTTGATGCAGAGCCAAGTAAGTAAGAAACATAAAATCTATATTTTTAATGTTGATATATTATGTACAATTTTTAATTGGTTTTAAATAATGTTTTATAAATATTTTACAAATATTTCTTAATATATAATATATAATATATAATATATAATATTGCTTTCCAAATATTTTAACCCTTTGCATTCGGTAGTTTTTCCGTTATAAGAAATTAGCAAATCGAAGTTGTTTTGACAAAAAGTTGATGAAATTTTTTACAGCTAACAAAAATAAATCATATATAAATTAACGGATAGGATTATTATATTTCAGTACTATCGAGAATAAATCAAAATAATTATTATCGCTTTTCACTTACCATTCGAGTTGCTGTACCAAACCAAGTGGCGACTGAGAGTCGTTTCTCGAGCACAAAGAGTTAAGTCAAATTGAATTCATCAGACAAATTTTTGATAGCTGTTTTGCATTTTGACATTTTATTAATATTTTTCTTCTGGACTTTTTAAAAATATTTTTTAATATTTTTTTTGTTGAAGTTTCCGGAGAACATTCAAATAATTTATGTGAAATTGAGTGAGAAGATCACAATGTATTCTTAGATAAAATCATGGAACGTTGACTAAAACTCCGACGTTCCATGTTTTCAGATCTTCGAGACATTTCAAGATTGACATTTGATGTCTCTCTAATATTTATAGCAGAGATGGAATTGTTAAAGCTATATTCCCTATTCTCGTGCAATTTACGCGGGTCCATTGAAATCACGGTAATGTTTCTTTAGAGTTGCTACATTTGATAGGAGGAAAAGAAAATTATATATAAAAAATTATTTTATAAGTATATAATACAATTTATTAATAAATAACAAAACATTTACTTCCAGTCGAAAAAGAACACTACTTTGTGCACGTTTCTTCAAAGATATTTTGTTTATCCATGTCATTAAATATATATTTGCTAACTTTTTACAACAATAATTATACTGAATATTAATTACCGATAATATACATATTAATATAAATTTGTTTATAATTCACTTATTTTATTACACGTTGCAATATTCTGCTTCATAATTTTTTATTATTCGATAAAATTTCGTATGTGACTTTTTTTATTATATAAAAATGCTTTTAAATAAATATATATAAATATTATTTATATAATCGGTTCTGTGTGTGCCACGAATATGCTACGAATATTTATTAGCATTGTTATTATATATTGTAAGGATTTATGAAAAACAGAAGAAAGGTAAAGTTTTTTTCAAGCAGCCAGTGAATATTTTTTAAATTTTCGTATTGCCGAATGTCCTTTTTAAGTAAAAAAATTATATATTTTTTCTTCTGCTTAGCTATTAGAGCCTCTATTATAATCTTTCACTCACCTGTATCACTAGAATTTCACCAACAGCACAATAAAGACACATGTGCAAAAAAAGAGATGTAGTCGCTATAGCAAACCAACTCAACTGCATAATTGATAATTGGTCTTTTTGATTAATAACCTAAATAGTTACCAACACAAGTTATACAATCTTGAATTGCTATACTCTCTGAAACTCATCATGTTACATTCAAAAAGCATTGTATACGAGAAAAATTGACAAGAAAATTATGAAATAGTAATGTGGGTTAACACGTACATCTTGTAGCTTGTTCATATATGGTTGTTTCGAATTATCGAGAACTATAGCGATCACAGCTTGTTTAAACAAGTAATCTCGCGTACTATTATTTTTAACTTACATTAACTATGAGAAATCCTTGCAGACAAAATAGTATAGCAAAGTAAAATATCAGGCCAAGTAGCATTAAATTGAAGGTATCATCAATTATTTCGATAGATCTGAAACAGTAATTCTCCTCAGAGAAAAATGTAATTTTGTATTTAAGTACAAGATTGTATGTGTGTGTATGTGTTTGAACAGTTTCTATTTGTAGAGTCTTGATAATCTATCTTGAGTACCTGATCAAACGATTATGATCTTGGACGTTATATTTCAAAACTTCATTGTAGTTGGGATACTTCTTTATATGTATTAATCGGGAATGTAAATTTTCCAGTTGACCGCATACGTGCAAAACTAATAGTCCGAGTAAGTTGTCAACTCCGGAATAAGAGAAACTACTTATCAACATTGCGAATGCTTGCGCCAGAAGGGTTAGTTCGAATTGCGGACTTTTGGACACATCGTGTAAGTAATACGTTTGTATTGGTAAGTGTTTTCCAGAATTGGTTAAGTTGGTACCATATTTCCTTGTCATTTCGAGACATGGTAAACCAAACACAATGATTAATGCAAAAAATACTATGAACAATCCGCACATAGCGATCGCTCGAGTAATTCTGGCGCACCTCAGCATAACGTCTCGCTCCTCTTTAATTTTTACCTTCAACCAATCTGCTTTAACCATATCAATTAGAGGGGACAAAACTGTAACAAGGAATGATGAGTCACTATTTTACTACGCGGATATTTTTGCACGTTTTACAAATTAATAAAATATTACAAAAGTTACTAATAAGAAAACACTCTGCGAAACATGATGTACCTTCTTGTTTGTACCAAATAATGCAGACTTTCAAAAGCGCCATCGACAGAGGTAGACTAAATTGCATATTATCTATCATCAGTATCATGTCACCCCATACTCTTATCAATGATATTAAACTCGGTATCGTGAATACGAAAAGTAATGTGATGAAACTACACAACCGTCGAAATTTCGGTCCTACAATTTGACGCGAGTCCCGGTTGTCTGGCGGCCACAAACCGATGATTTTTAACATAAGTCGATTTAGACTAATCGTCCATTCGAAATCTGCCATTAGAAACTTAAGTTTCACTTTACGCTAAAAGCTATAATTTTACATAATGTCTGCCTGCAGAAACGAGTACGTCAACGAATAAGTTAAAAATGGACTGCACGAGCGTGCTTAAACATATCGACATTCCTAAATAAAAAAATTGTAGAGAATTGCATTTTTCTTAGCTATTAATATATCAATAGGATTTACAGAGAATTGTCATGTTATTGTGTAAAACAAACAGTAATTATGTTTTTTTTATAATTAATTCTTTTGATACATTTTTATATATTTTTATTTTTTTGAGAAATCGCTGTTTTCTCGACATCTATGTAAACGAGAACATGAAAACTTTAACCATGTTAATGTTTTTAAATAGAGAGATAATCTGAATGAAAACCGGTATGAGAAAGAGTACCATTATATTCACTTGAACGATTCATGCTAAGAGTTAAAAGGATACTATCTCGCGCTATCAAGGGAAAGTTGTCTCTACTCGTTAGGTATACCCTTAAAACAAAATTTTTGAAAATCTAAAGTTTATTGTATGTATATGTTCGCGTTGTTCTAAATATTTCAGCAACCAGAATAAGTATGACGAGCACATCAGTGTGTATCATTTTCTTGGCGCTTTTGGCAGCTAACGGGATGAATAAATAAATTATAATCGCGTGAAGGCACATAATGTGTACTGTCCATTGTCAGAAACACTCATCATTTTCGATGTTTCATGTTTTTCCACGTTACTACCGCAATTGTAGGGTTACGAGTATGCATGCGAAGAATTTTTTATATGACAATATGAGAGAGACCGTTGAAAACTTTAATAAAAGCGTGGAAGGCTTGTCGACATTTTTTACCTTGCTGAAAAGTTTGCTCACTGGCAGAAGGGGTTGCCATCGAGTCAGCACTTTAACGCTGCATTATTGACGAGTCTTTAGTCGCATGGTAATTTTCAGCGGACAGATGAAACACAGCAGTGTACGGAGAAAGACGTAGATGACACGCTGCCGATGGCTGTTTAGCGCTAATGTGTCTTTGACTTGTACAATGAGTGTGAGATGGACGCACTTAAACTCAACGGAATTCTACAAATGTGGTGTTTAAGGCATGGTGACAGGTACTCCATCGATTATAATAAGCGTTAATTTATATATTTATACATAAATTTAATTAATTTAATTAAATCTTATATGTGTATGGTAAGGTGAATTTTCTTTTTTTTTAAATTGTACTCATTTATAATTACTCAAAGTTTATAGTCCTTTATGACTTTATCTATTTAATTACAGTTAACAATAAAAAAATATTTACTATAAAAATTTAAAGATAATGAAATAGAATGTGTGGCATTTTACCCTCACCTCATTAGCTAAAGAGTTAAATTAACATTAAAAGTACGAAAAATATAATTTTTATTAAAATTAAATTATTTTATTAAATCATATTATCAAAAAATTATATTACTGTGTTAATTACAACACATATAGACAAAATGTAAGACGTTTATATCGATCGAAGAAGTGGTGTAGTGTCTAAAGCTATAGATTTAATCCAGAGGTGCCTCCAAGCTCCAAGTTCGAGTCCCATCAGTGTCAGTAAGAATTTTTAAATGTGATGTAACATTGGAATCAAGTAATCTAAAATTTTCAAGTAAAATCAGTAAATGCTTGTGATATTTATGAATAGTTTCTATTAGAAAAAAGCAATACATATCATATATAAAAAAATTTATAAAGTATACATCTGAAATATTTTAAATTAACATATTAAAAGATATTGAAATAAATAAGGATTTCTTTACTTTACATTAAAAATTTGTTACTTTTAACAAAAATTAATTTTTGTCTTTATAATGCATATATATTTTATTTAGATATATTTAATATTACGTTGAAATAAATAATATATATTTAACTAAACATATTGAAACGAGATTAATATTTTTTTAAAATCACTATATTTTTCTCTCAGTGTATGGAAGATAATACCTAAATATAATCACTATACAACCTTTATCTAATTAACATAATCGTGGAAGAAAGTAAGTAACAAAAAGAAATTGTAAAAGTATTGCTCGGAAGCAACCCAAAATTGATAACTACTTGGTAGATACATCTATACTTAGGTCTTACAGATTTTATGAACTTGAAGATAACCAGGACAACAATAATAAAGTAGGAAAGAAAATTATCAAACCCCTTCTATTTTGCTGTCTTTTGCAATTTTTGTGGGAAAGTAAGATAGGGTGAGGTGAACATAAAAATCCTATATCGTTTTGCAATATTAATTTGCAGATGAAACTGAGAAATTGTGGAAGTTCAAGGAAAAGCGCGTATTGAATGGTAGAAGGAGAAACGCTCGAGGCGCAACGCGGTCCAATAATATATCGCGCGGATATGCCGGCGCGCACCGAGTGGAAGAATAAGCCACTGTCTCTGCTTATATCATTGCGGTTCTACATCTCGTCTCGGCGCAGTGCAGTGTTCAAAATTATCATTCTTATTTAGAAATCTTTTCAATAATTAGCAACTTCGTAGATATATGAAAATATCATGAAACAAATAAATAATGAAATAATCTTTCTTTAAAGTCGATTATCTCGAAAAATTTGCACTTAATAAAAAAATGTTTCAAATAAAAAGTATTTGTTTTACTCTTACTTTCACAGAAAACCATAAAAAATGGAGGTTTAGATTAAAAAATACAGTTGATCTTCGTTTGACCTATAGTAGTGCTACCTATATTATAAGCATCTTATGTCCCCTTTAATACCAAATTTCGTCTATAACATTTTTTCATATGATGCATATTTGACGAGATATTTGTCATTAACTTTATAATAGTTCATCATATATGAATACATACAGGGCGGCCTACGTAAAATGTGACAACCCAAAAATTCTAAAAATATTGGTTGTATCAAAAAGTTGTTCATAAGAAAGTTTCTTGTATTCGAGGGATCTTTCTAATTATGTAAATATAAATTCCCCCTTTTCCCTTGAAGGGGAGTAACTTCATAATTTTAAATGGAACCTCCTATAAAATGTTACATATTTGAATTGTATAGCAAAAACAAATACACTTTATCTTTGAAAAATACTTCTATCAAAAAAGTTATAAACATTAAAATTTTAAAGTAAAGTGCATTCAAACTAATATAATCAAACCATATAAATTAAATAATATGAAACAATAAAATATAAGTCATAACTGAACTGTCCATAGTTCTTCTAACAATTTTAATAATCTATAAATTTTCTATAAATTTTCTATTTATTAAATACAAAAAGACTATGGAGTCTTTTATTTATGGTATTATGATATTAGTTTAAATATATTCTGCTTTAAGATTTAAACGTTTATAATTTTTAATAGAAGTATTTTTCAAAGAAATGTCCTAGATAAGATTTATTTGTTTTTTTCATTTATAGGAAATATTCAATGTTACATGGCTGGTAAGTACTCGCCAAACACGCTATTTTGTGTAGAGCTTAAGGTTTCTAATTTTACGATTACTAGATTTGAAGGACATATCTAACTAACTTTGGCAATCTAAAAAAATCGATTTACGTAATAGAAAATTTCAACAGTCATTTAACGTATTTATAATAAGTATTTTTCTATCAATTTTATTGTTTTCAAATTACTTTTTTCTTATATTACACATTTTCGCTTTATTGGATGTGTCCGTTTCTACTGTAGGGACTACTATTTAATTAAAAAGGAAACCATTTAGTAAAATTATGGAGGTCACGGGATGTAACAAACATATATTATTTTTTCTATTTGATAATGCTTGTGTATAACTTTTTTTATTTTAACTAAGAATGATGAGAATAATGACTGAAATATATGATTAACTTTTTGGGGTGTTTGATACCCTACATTTGATCTATATAATGTTATAGTCCATATATTGTTGATATAGTGCATTTCGTTGTCGATATCTTGCGTAGAGTGTTATTAGATTTCTCTATTTATGTTTGGTTGTGTATTTAGAATACATCTCCGAAAATTTATATTCAATATTTTTTAAATAATAAAAATATAATAAAATTTTTTCTCAAAACTAATACAGTTATAATAGAATGATTTCTAGTTGTAACAGATAGGATATGAAAAATATTCTAACAAGAGATACTCAGCAACGCAAAGTTCCCAAAAATTTAATATTTTGTACAATCATATAGTAGATTGTAACAACAAAATAATTTTTGTTGGTACGAAAATGCGGTTTTTCGGGGTGAAAATACCCATTGGAAAAAATAATTTTTATAGTTCTATACAAATATCATTGGAACGGAAAGATATGAAAAAATAATTTAAAGAAAAGTTTTATGGTTTTAAATGTACTTTATGATAGCGTATCTAGGTTAAAAAATAGTACATTTTTCAAAATACTTCTACTACTCTAATTCCACTAGCAGCACAGTTCATTGGGCCAATATTGGCAACGCATTGAATTCCCAATATTGGCTCACTATTACAAAGTAGACGCCTAGAATTTTATAGCCAATAGTGGATTTCCAATATTAGACTAATATTGCATTTCAATTATTTGGCCAATAGTGAATTCCCTATACTGGATCAATATTGAATTTCAAGTAATGGATCAATATTGAATTCCAAATATTGGACCAATGTTATATTTCACATTTTGTCTAATATTGAATTACGAATATTGGACCAACATAGATTATATAGATATTATTTATATAATCAAGCCTGTGTGTACTACAAATATACTACAAATACCTATCAGCATTATTATTATATATTGTAAGAATTTATGAAGGACAGAAAAGAAGGTTAAGCCGTCAAACAGAAAGTGAATATTTTTTAACTTTTCGCATTACCGAATGTCTTTTTTAAGTAAAATTGTATAATTTTCTCTTTCTATTTAACCATTAAAGTCTCTATTATATTCTTTCACTCACCTGTGTCGCTAGAATTTCACCAACAGCACAATAAAGACACATGTGTAAAAAAAGAGATACAATCCCTATGATAAACCAACCTAATTGGTTAATTGATAATTGGTATTTTTGAATCATAACCTAAACAGTCACCAATATAAGTCATACAATCTTAAAATGCTATATCCTCCGAAATTCATTATGTTATACTCAAAAAGTATTATACATGAGAAAAATTGTTAAGAATATTATTAAATATTAATATAGCTTATAGCTTGTTCATATATGTTCGTTTCAAATTATCGAGAACTGTAGGGAAGCCTCTTTAATTAATAGGTAATCTCGTGCACGATTATTTTGGACTTACATTAACTATGAGAAATCCTTGTAGACAAAATAGTATAGCAAAGTAAAATACCAGGCCAAGTAGAATTAAATTGAAAGTATCGTTAATCATTTCGATAGATCTGAAACAGCAACTGCTCTTCAGAGAAAAATGTACTTTTCAGATAAAAACCGTGTTAAAGTACACGATTTTTTCAACAGTTTTTATCTTGACAATCTATTTTGAGTACCTCATCAAACGAATGTGATCATGGACATTATATTTTAAAACATCATTATAATTGGGGTACTTCTTCATATGTGTTAACCGTAAATGTAAATTTTCTAATTGACCGCATACGTGAAAAACTAATAGTCCAAACAAATTGTCGATCCCAGAATAAGAGATGCCACATAAGAACATTGCGAAAATTTGCGCCAGTAGCGTTAGCTCGTACTGTGGACTCTTAGTCACGTCGTGCAGGTAGTATGTTGGTAACGGTAAATGTTTTCTAGAGTAGGTTGAATTGGTCACATAATTTCTTGTCACTTCGAAACACGGTAAACCAAACATAATGATTAATGCAAAAACTATCATGAAGAATCCGCACATAGCGATCGGGCGAATAATTCTGGCGCATCTCAGCATAACGTCTCGTTCCTCTTTAATCTTTACCTTCATCCAATCTTCTTCAATCATATCAATTAGAGGGGATAAAACTGTAATAAGAATAACTGTAATAAGTTATGAGTTACTATTTCTCTACGCGGATACTTTTGCGCATTTTACAAATTTTATAAATTATTACAACTGTTACCGATAAGAAAATACTCTACTTAACATAATGTACCTTTTTGTTTGTACAAAATAATGAAGACTTTCAAAATCGTAATCGACAGAGATAGACTAATATGCATATTATCTACTATTAGTATCATGTCACCCCATACTCTTATCAATGATATTAAATTCGGTATCGTGACTACGAAAAGTATCGTGATGAAACTGCACAGCTGTCGAAGTTTCAGTCCTACGATTTGTCGCGAATCCTGATCTGGCGGCCACAAACCGACGATTTTTAGCATAAACCGATTTACACTAATCGCCCATTCGAAATCTGTTATTGGAAATTTAAGTTTTACTTTACACTAAAAGTTATAATTTTAAACTATAATTTTACATATAATGTTTGTCTGTAGAAACTAATACATAAACGAATGAATTGAAAATGGATTGCATTAGCATGCTTTAACATATCGACTTTTCTAAATAAGAAGTTGTAAAGAATTGAATTTTTCTTAGTTATTAATATATCAATGGAATTTACAGATCATTGCTGTATTATTATGCGAAATAAATAGCCATTATGTTCTTTCATAATCAAATTTCATAATCATTTCTTTTGAACGGTATATTTTGATAAATTTTATTGAAGAAATCTGTCGCACATTTGGATATCTATGTAAAGAAAATTATGAAAACTTTAATCATGTTAATATTCTTAAATAGAAGGATAATTAATTTGAATAAAAACGTGGACTGGTAGTGGAAAACAGCACCGTTATATCCACTTGAACGATCCATGCCAAGAGTTAAAAGGATACTGTCTTGCACTATCGAGGAAAAGTTTTCACTCGTTACGTATACTCTCAAAATATAATTCTCGGTAGAACAAAGTTCGTTATATGTGTATGTTCGTGTCGTTATAAATATTTTAGTAATCAAAGTAAGCATTACGAAAGATATGGTTGCGTATCGTTTTATTGATGCCTTTGGCAGTCAATATGAGTGAGTGAATAAATTATAATCGCGTGAACGTACATAACATCCGTTGTCAGAAATATCCATTGCTTTCGTTGTTTCGTATTTTTTCCTTGTTACCGTCGTACATTTGTAACTGCAGGATTACGAGCGTGCACGCAAAGAATTTTTTATGTGGCAATACGAAAGAGACCACTGAAAACTTCCATAAAAGCGTGGGAAACCTGCAGCTTAACGACATTTTTTACTTTGCTAAAAAGTTTGATCACTGGAAAAAGGAGTTGCCATCTAGTCAGCACTTCTATGCTGCAGTATTGACGAGTCTTTAGTTGCGGTAACTTTCAGCGGACAATTGAAACACAGCATATAGAGAAAGACGTGAATAATACGGTGCCGTTGACTGTTTACCGCTAATATGCCTTTGACTTGTACAATGAGTGTAAGATAACTGCAGTTGTGCTCAGCGAAATTCAACTACAAGTGAGGTGTTTAAAGTAAGATGTTTCCAGTGAAGTGATAATTTCACAATAATAGTTTTACAATTTTTTTATCAGCACGTGAAGTGAAATGTAAAACTTGAAAACCAAATTACATGCTGTTGATTACTTTTGACGTTTATGTTTTCATCGCGTGCGCGCTATGCACGTCTTACTATTATTTTTTTATATTTAATAATGCTTGCGTATAACTTTTTTTTATTTTAACTTAGAATGATAAAAATGTTAACTGAAACATATGGTTGACTTTTTGGGGCGTTCTATACCATACATTTGGTACATTTATTGATAGTGGATTGTTGATATCTTGTGTAGGTTGTTATTAGATTTTTATATTTATGTCTGGTTGTTCATCTAGGATTCATCTTTGAAAATTTTTTAATATTAAAAAAAAATGTTTTTTCTCAAAACTAATACAGTGATAATAGAATGATTTCTAGTTGTAACAGATAAGTTATGAAAAATACTCTAACAAGAGACATCCAGCAACGCAAAGTTCACAAAAATTTAATATTTTGTACAATCATATAATAGATTATAATAACAAAGTTTTGTTGATGCGGAAATGCGGTTTTTGGATTGAAAATATCCTTTGGAAAAAATCGATTTTTACAGTTTTATGTGAATATCATTGGAACGGAAGGATATGAAAAAATAATTTAAAGAAAAATTTTATGGTTTTAAATATACTTCACGATAGTATATATAGATTAAAAAAAATGGTATATTTTTCAAAATACTTCTACTACTTGTTTTTAAATATTTCAACAAAATTTATTAACCTTTCCTTGTTAATTAAAGTTAATTAAAATTAGAATTTTATAATTAAAGCATATATTATGCTAAATTCAGTCATGTATGATAAAATTATATATGACAAAATTCAATCATATATGATAAAATTATGTTGCGAAAATTAATTTTTGTAAGATAAAGATATAAATGCCCGTTGTCCATAACTATGTTATACCAATCCTGTCTAGTCGCCGTTGACGGCTTATAATTTTCTTTCTTCATTGTAAGCACGCACGATACATGATAGCGATGCTGATAAATATTTGTAATAATGTTGATTCGGAGCTGAATCACGCGTAAATAATTTTTATATTCTACGTATATTCTCATTATAATATAATAGTATAAAGAAATAGTATAGGTCTTTGATGTTCAGAGATGTGTGTGTGTGTGTGTGTGTGTGTGTGTGTGTGTGTGTGTGTGTTGTGTGGGTGTGTGAAAGTATCAATTCACTATTTCTTTATTGAATAAATGATTTTAAAAATTTTTTCACTTCCATTAACTCATTATCTAGGTAATATATCGATTATAGTATCTAGTAAAAAGTATAACTTTTCAATAAAAAAGTCGAAAAAGTTATATATAAAAAAATAAATAATTTAAATGAATAAATAGTTTATAACAATAAATAAATAATTTTTTCGACTTTTTTATTAAAAAATTATTGTTTTTATTTGATACTATAACCCATATATTACCTAGATAATATCTTTGCTGGGTTTGCTATGGTCTATAATGAGTTAGCGGAATTGAAAACATTTTTAGCAATTTAGCAATTTTGTTAAATTGCTTAAACTTAATTAAGTTGTAAAATGATTTTTCGTAAAAGCTGACAGCGCCATTTGATTCTGGAAAAAAAATACTACGATAATATATATTACATATATGCCAACTAACCTCTATTGTCATAAAAAATTACTTATTATTTTTTATATTATTGCACTTTTCACAGATTATTGTTAACTCAGCAACAATATCATTTAGATAACTACATAACATACTTTTTGCTTTGCCGAATGTCCTTTGTAAGTAATAAAAGTATATAATTTTCTCTTTCTATCATTAAAGTCTTTGTCATATTCTTTAACTTACCCGTGTTACTAGAATTTCACCAACGGCACAATAAAGACACATGTGTGAACAAGCAGATATAATCGTCAGGACAAACCAACTTAACTGGATAACTGATAATTGGTCTTTTTGATTAATAACCTAAATAGTTACCAATACAAGTTATACAATTTAAAATCTGTATCATCTGAAACTCATCATGTTATACTCAAAAATCATTGTGCATGAGGAAAATTAAGAAGAATATTATTAAATATTAAACTAGATGAACACGTATAATTTGTAGATTGTTAATATATGTTCGTTTCAAATTATCGAGAGCTGTAGGAAAAACTCTTTAACCCTTTAAGTCACGAATTTTTCTTTTCCTTTGTTCAATCGGTTTCTAGGAGTTTTTAGGATCACTAATTATAAATTTAAAGTCAGTTTTTAAAAATTGAAGATGGAGGATGCAATATAGCACGCGGACAATAATTTTAAAAATTCCCTCAATTTCCGTGAAAATTGATAGCCGAGGGTTTTTGTCGTCCCTGAGATCACGAGTTTAAAATCACTTTTTTTTAAATTTAAGTTATTCACAGACTCAACTTCACTCGGAAAGAAATATAACTTATCCCGATTATTGGTATTTTAGCTCGCTATATTGAGTTCGTCATTATGAATTTAAAAATTTTTGAGGTTGCGTTATTATTTACAGCTCAAAAAGCATCAACCATTCCTCTATAGATTTATTTTACAATATATTTAGCAAATGAGTTTAAAGAAAATACCACTTCTTTATATTAATTTATTTATGAATAATTAAATTTGCAAAATTTAATGTTCTATGCAGATGATTCTGTTAGAGGGACATCTAAGCTTCACAATAAATTCACCTCTATCGCCTCGAAGTTTCTACAAATTAATTTAAATTTGTAAAAACTACTGTACAAAAGGTATATCATATATGATACATTATGACTTAAAGGGTTAATCAAGTAATTTCGTGCATAATCATTTTGGACTTACAAAAATTATGAGAAATCCTTGCAGACAAAATAGTCCTGCAAAGTAAAATAACATGCCAAGTAGCATTAAATTGAAAGTATCGTCAATGATTTCGATAGATCTGAAACAGCAACAGTTTCTCAGAGAAAAATATAATTTTGTAAGGTGTTTAAATATAAGATTTTTCGAAAAGTATCTGTCTTTCTTGATAATTCATTTTGAGTACCTGATCAAACGAATGTGATCTTGGACGTTATATTTCAAAATTTCGTTATAGTTGAGATACTTCTTCATATGTGTCAACCGCAAATGTAAATTTTCTAATTGACCGCATACGTGAAAAACTAATAGTCCAAACAAGTTGTCGATCCCAGAATAAAACATGCCACATAAGATCATTGCGAAAATTTGCGCCAGTAGTGTGAGCTCGAACTGCGGACTCTTGGTCACATCGTGTAGGTAGTATGTTGGTATCGGTAAATGTTTTCCAGAGTTAGTTAAGTTGGTAATATATCTCCTTGTCATTTTAAGATATGGTAAACCAAACCCAATGATTAATGCTAAAACTATTATGAACAATCCGCACATAGCGATCGGACGAGTAATTCTGGCGTATCTTAGCATAACGTCTCGCTCCTCTTTAATCTTTACCTTCATCCAATCTTCTTCAATCATATCAATTAGAGGGGCTAAAACTATAATAAGAAGTTATGAGTTACTATTTCTTGTGGATACTTTCGCGCGTTTTACAAATTCAATAAATTTTGCAAATGTTATCGATAAGAAAACATTATATTAAACATAATATACCTTCTTGTTTGTACGAAATAATACAGACTTTCAAAATTGTAATGGTCAGAGGTAGACTAAGTTGCATATTATTTATCATTGATATCATGTCACCCCATACTCTTATCAATGATATTAAATTCGGTATCATGAGTACGAAAACTATCGTTATAAAACTGCACAGCTGTCGAAGTTTCGGTCCTACGATTTGTCGCGAATCACGATCTGGCGGCCACAAACCGACGATGTTTAGCATAAACCGATTTATACTAATCGCCCATTCGAAATCTGTCATTGGAAACTAAAGTTTCACTTTACGCTAAAAGCTAAAATTTTACATATAATGCAAAATTTGCCTGTAGAAACAAATACATCAACAAATGAGTTAAAAATGGACTGCACGGGTATATTTGAATATATCGACTTTTCTAAATAAAAAGTTGTAGAGAATTTAATTTTTATAGTATCAATGGAATTTTAATGTATCAATGGAATTTACGAAGCATTTTCTTGTTATTACGCGAGACGAATAGCCATTATATTCTTTTAGAAAACCTAATTTTATAATCAGTTCTTTTGAGCGATATATTTTGATAAATTTTATTGAAAAAATCAGTCGCACACTTGGATATCTATGTAAAGAAGATTATGAAAACTTCAATCATGTTAATACTCTTAAATAGAAGGATAATTAATCTAAATATAAACGTGGGCTGGTAGTGGAAAACAGCACCGTTATATCTACTTGAACGATCCATGCCAACAGTTAAAAGGATACCGTCTTGCACTATCGAGGAAAAGAAGTCTTCACTCGTTACTTATACTCTCAACTTATAATTTTCGATAGAACAAAGTTTGTTATATGTGCATGTTCGTATCGTTATAAATATTTCAGCAACCAAAATAAGCATAACGAAAGATATGGTTGCGTATCGATTTGTTGGCGCCTTTGGCAGTCAATATTAGTGAGTGAATAAATTATAATCGCGTGAACGCACATAACGTCCATTGTCAGAAACATCCATTGCTTTCGTTGTTTCGTATTTTTTCCTTGTTACCGTCGTACATTTGTAATTGCAGGATTACGAGCGTACACGCAAAGAATTTTTTATGTGGCAATACGAAAGAGACCACTGAAAACTTCCATAAAAGCGTGGGAAACCTGCAGCTTAACGACATTTTTTACTTTGCTAAAAAGTTTGATCACTGGAAAAAGGAGTT